AAGCATTAAAAAAATAAAAAATGCGACATAATAAAAGTGGTTTGGCTTAATACCTGACCTTGCAAGTGATGCTACATACAAAGATTGATCAGAATCTCTTTAAATTTGGTTTTCCTCGTTTAAAAGAATATCAATTTATACCTTTATATGTTTTTTTAGTTCTTGAATTACATTAGCTTGATTTTGATTTCCACCTTTTAAAATAATGTAAGATCGTAACCCGTTTCTTGTTGGATCGCCGCGGAACATAATATTATCAAGCGTACAGGAAAATCTTCCTATAATATAAATTATTATACAAAAAATCGTGCGATCAATTTCGATGTGCCACAGTTGTGCTCAAGTCATTTTGCAAAGTAGCCGCGTGATTCGTTAACATGTATTTCTGCTGTTTATTCGTAATTTTATTTGTCGATTCAGGTAAGTTCAACCAATATCGGGGCAATGTTTTTTTTTAATGCTTTTTATCATATTCGATTCTCTACTTTTCAGTTCACAACACTGTGCCCACGTCTCCCCGAGTCGGAGGCAACCGTGAGAAAATAATAAAACGAAGAGCCATAGTGAGTGATTTTATATTTAGACGTTAACACACACATACGCGCTACACACAAATGTGACCTTAATAATCACTACAGTTGAGTTTATATTATTCTGTACCTATCTTCACCAGGGACAAAATAGAAATAATAGCAGTTTCCATAATTCGGTATTGGATTTCCATAATTCGTTTTTAAAACTGATCATTTCAAGGTGTCCTTATTTAGACTAGACATTAGATTCCTTTCATTGAAATATAGTTAAGATACTTTATTATGAATGAATAGCCTTATATTCAGATCCATTTTTTTTCTTCTTTTTATTGCTTAGATGGGTGGACGAGCTCACAGCCCTTCTGGTGTTAAGTGGTTAATGAAGCCCATAGACATCTACAACGTAAATGCGCCACTCACCTTAAGATATAAGTTCTAAGGTCTAAAGTATAGTTACAACGGCTGCCCTTCAAACCGAAACACATTACTGCTTCACGGCAGAAATAAGCAGGGTGGTGATACCTACCCGTGCAGACTCACAAGAGGTCCTACCACTAGTAACAACAATGTACAAAGAATGTAAAGCATTTACAACAACAACAAATTACAATATTACAATTATATGATTAAATATTTAAAAAAAAAACTTAAATTTAATGTGAACCTTAATCTAGTCTGTTATTTGAATTTTACTTATGTTCTGTAGATATGTTTACCAATCAACAAAGGCCTTCTCCAACCTTTTCCACTCATGTCTTTCTTGAGTCACTCTGTTGCATGTGACGCTTGCCACTTGTCTTCTTATGTCGTCATCCCATCTTTTTGCGGTCTACCGCTTTTCCTTTTACCTTCTATATGATACCATCCATTGTCTTTTCTTCTCTCTCTGATCACATGACCTGCCCAACGCCATTTAAGGCTTCTAATTTTTAATAAATAATTAGATTAGAATAGTCAAAAAATAATTCGTTACTTTATTAAAACTACTTCTATTAGCAGATACGGTTCCTTTAATGGTCGAGACTCCAGGAAGAAGAAAATTAAGTCATATATAAATATAATATTGATTTAACGACGAATTTTGCTAAAAGTCCTCCTAGTCCTCTGTTTCTGGTACCCATAATTATAAAATGGCATTAAGAAAGTCAAGAAAGAATTTCCTTAGAAGAAATACAATTAACATCGTATCCTATAAATTCTTGGCCAGAAGTGATTGTAGATTCCAATTTGAAGGGTTTTAAAGGGACATTGCCTAGTATTCGACCTTGTATCCCAAGGTGGTCAGCATTCGCGTGGTCTTGTCAACAGGCTTTTATTGATGCCTATCAATCCTATCAATACATATAAAATTCTTCATTCTGACTGACTGATTCATAAACGATGTGTGTGTGTGTGTGTGTGTGTGTTGTTATTATATTTATTCTCAAATCGATTATTTTATATAACAGGGATTTACTAAATCTTTTTACGATTAGAAACTGTTTTTTTTGTTTAATCAACATTTCGTTAAGTCTCAGAGAAAGTTCTGAAAACTATATTGACTAAGTAATTATTTAGTGCTGATTTCTATGCTAGTTCACTAACACTAATGTAGAAAAATAATCTATCTCTCAGAAGCAGAACTTTTTAATTGGATATTAAGTACTCTATGCCTTCATTGTACTCCTGTGTGCAATATTTCACGATGATCGATTGAATCGTTAGGACATAAAAACGTAACTAACTAGCTTCTATCGCGGGCCTTGAGCGCGGCGACCGAATCATGAAATTCCGTAACGAAAAAAACCTTACACCCATCACGCCGCCTACCATGTAGCTCGCGTTCAACACATTCAAACGTTGCGTTTGTGTAGTGTTTATGAATAAGCGCGTGGCGTGACGTCACACTGCATGCGCATCATGAAAAGTCTGCCAATCTCTCTCTCGCGCGATCTAGCTTATGAGTGTGAAGGGGACAGTTAAGGTTTTGCTTTTATTAATGTTTAATATAGCGTGGTCTCGTTTTATTATTGTTTTAATAATAAATTATCATTGTCTAATTATAATTGCATAAATTGATAGAAAATGCTATGCATTAACTTTATCGCTTCAGTTCCCGAGTGCCACACGTTTGTTTTTTATATTTTTTATTTTAACTGTAAACTAAACTATTATATTTTTTCGATACACTTCGAATTATTATCGTTGATTTACACTTTAAATCATAATTATGAATGTGACCGATGTCCACTAAACTAAATCTGGGAACTAATGTGACCGGTACGGACTAATTTAGCCTCAAAATAATTTATGTCATGGTATCAGAAACTCTATCAAATTCTCAAATTCTAATTTTATCAAATCAGTAGCCAGTATTATATTAAATAAAAAATTCTTACAGAAAGAAGACGATTGGATATGGGGACCCGTTGATCGCATTGTAAACAGCGTAAGTAATAAATTAAACATGTCACTATCGAAATAATCCATTTTTCTCACTATACCTAAATTTAGCGCCTACATCTAAATACTCACAAGATAACTGGATTCAACAGAGAAAACCCGAAGCCACTGGTGCATGAACTGCATAGACTTATGTATGAGCGAAAGTTTCAATCAAAAGAGCCAATCTGATGCACTAAAGCTTGGACAAAGAATCAGGATAAGCTAAACAGATACCATTCGGTTTAAAATTCGACAAACTACAAATGTCTGAGTACGACATTTGATTCCGAACCTGTTTACTTGTTAGAAGGAAACATATCTTAAGTTAATTAATATACCTCCATAACACTACGTTGGAAGATGAGTCAGCAACTTACACTCAATCGTGGCCCATGTCATTAACAATGTATAAATATCGCCAAATGTTCTCCCGTGATAATGACACTAGATTTTGATACGATTGACACTGCCATGTCACTAAGTTTTTCTATCAATTGATAATTATCAACATTGAAATCCTCCTAATATTACAAAAATAACTCAAAATTTCTGCCCTTTTCAGACATCTGGTAAACGATTTAAACAAAAAATACAGATAGATAACTCTACTTTAATTTGTTTATTAAAAAAAAAAACACTATATTAGTCGAATGTTGGAGGAGAAAGCGGTTAAAAAACATTATTTGCCGGTCCTGAGGCCTATCGTAATCACAACAGCTCGAAGCAATCACCCTAACTCTACTTCATAATCATCCACTCCGTTTTGAAGAGTTGATGGCCATTTCGATTGTGAAGTCTATGGATTCCGAAAACCAATTAGCAGCCGTTCACTCGTTCACTCGTATGCAATACAAAATGTATGTTTACATGATGGAACACACGATCGCAGCCTTCCCCGTGTGGGAGGAGTATCGTCGTACCGTAGTCGCGCAAATTCAACAGGTCTTGTCGCTGTTGACCGTATTGTCTACAATCCTCGGCAGCGATTTATCATAAAAGACTATGATCAGCGGTAGGAATTAATCTCGTAGGAGGAGGTAGTAGAATGTGATGTCATATCTCCCGACACCACCTTCTGGCCGGGAGAAGGAGGGGGGGGGGGTGTCAAACTTCGATTCAAGGCGGCATTTCCAGTTCAAAGGGGCTGAGGTCTCGTGGTAATATATCTCTAGCTCGCCGCCGTGTCAACCAAGCAACAACAAAGAGCGACCGGTTATATAATGCTCCAACCCTGTAGGCTGGTTTTGGATCAGCGGGTTATTCCAGAACATCAAAAGCACCACGACCTGATTAGTCTCTATCGTGACGACCGACGTAGAGTCGTCGATTCACCTCGATGTCCTGGCTGACCGGCCTCGGCGTGTTGTTGCAGTATTGACCATAAACCTCTCCTACCTTTTTATTTATTGCTAAGATGAGTGAACGAGCTCACAGCTCACCTGGTGTTAAGTAGTTACTGGAGCCCATAGACATTTACAACGTAAATGCGCCACCCACCTTGAGATATAAATTCTAAGATCTTAGTATAGTTACAACGGCTGCCCCACCCTTCAAACCGAAACGCATTACTGCTCACGGCAGCAATAGGCAGGGTGGTGGGTACCTACCTGCGCGGACTCACAAGAGGTCCTACGACCAGTAATTATGCAAATAATTTTTTTTTTGCGGGTTTTGATTTTTATTACACGATGTTATTCCTTCACCGTGGAAGTCAATCGTGAACATTTGTTGAGTACGTATGTGATTAGAAAAATTGGTACCCGCCTGCGATTCGAACACCGGTACATCGCTCAACACGAATGCACCGGACTTCTTATCCTTTAGGCCATGACGACTTCAAACGACCGGTTTTGTCTCGGGCGGGGATTCGTCTTACGGACGAGATTACAGGAAAGTCAGTGGGTGGCTCCGGTAGTTCACATGTTCCCCGTACTCTCTCTCAACGCGGCGATCTCAGAGGGAGAATAGGCACTGGACAATTTTTTTTTTCCATTACAATTTCATTTCATTCATTTTTCAACTACTTCTAATAATTATAGAGCTTGGTAATTAGAACAAATTAACAAAAAGTATTTTTTCAACTATGTTAAAGATCTGTCCGAGTCATTTTATTCAATCATAACTAAGTAATGTTTTTTTTTCTCTTTTTTTCCTCCCTAAGCTGATGGTCTTGAGAGACCATTTCAGCGTAGCCTTACGGGGCTCAAAATTGACGACGCTGCTAACACTAATCCTAGCAAAAGCAGTGCTTCGCAGAATCTATCACCGTATCGGAAATGCGACCCACTGAGAAGATCCAGTGAGAAACTCAGTTGGCTGTGTCTGTGGGTTAATTTACTCGCCAAGCCCTTCGTTGCAAGCGACGGTTTCGACGAGAACGATGACCGGGCGTTTTTTCCCTATTAATACTAATTTAAGAGTATATTTTCTAATTAAATAGTTGGTTATTTACTCTGATTTCATGGTGGGAGATGCAGTGATAAAAATAAAGTAACGCGGTCTTCCCCGTCCCTACCAACTAGTTATGCAATGTATTCGTCTTTTTTTTCCTATCTAAGTTTGTAATTTAGGGGTAATGCGAGGGCATGTAGGTGAGCTCACGGAGCTCTAATCTGAATACAGCAAGTATAGTTAATGTATGAAAGTAATACTTAAAGATAATTTGCGATAAACCTCATGAATTTTTGCAACTTGGAACTTTCAAATTATAACAAAATACACTGCTGCTTTATATTATATTATTTTATTGATATTATAATTTCATTTTACAGAAAAACGAAAATTCATCTTTTCCTTTAGGTACATGGTCTCCATTGGAAAACGACGACAAACCTTGGCTACACCGCATCAGATTTCCACCTTTTGCATACAGTTCCGCCCCTGATGATCTTATCTTAATACAACCAATAATCCAAGTTAACTCAACGAGAAAAATCAAAGTGATACCTCAATTACAAAATTATAATTTACCACCTATAAATAGTGAGGGAAAACAAAACATTCTATTGAACTTTGTGATAGAATATGATAAAGAAGAAAACGAAATTACATTAAAAGCAAGGACTGCTGTGAATGAAACAAATGATATTCCTTTACAGAGTACAGAAAAAATATTAAGCTCAGAATTCAATAAAACAAACAACAATGGTCTTCTATCGGCATCTATTAAAGAACCAAATAATGAACTAATAAGCAATTTGGTTTTAAACAATCAAACTAAAATCAAAGAAAACATAAAAGAAGAAAACATTACGACCAGAATCAATACCGAAGACGAAGAACCATCAATACAGACTTTAAACTCTTTCGAAATATTGTATTCTGAATTAAATTTTCCAAAGAAGAATAATAGAGTCATTGTAAAACCAGATCCTCCGTGTAAAGAATTCGAACTGCCTATATTTAGAAAAGGCTCGCGTATCAGTGAAACCAGTAAGTAGTTTAGATTCCTTAACGATCATTCTTGCTCTCGTAGCCTGGTGATACAACTTAGGATTTTAACATTCATCCTACATTTAATTTTGTTCTACGTTATATCTACACCAATAATATATCCTCTTTTTTTTAGTAAGCATTCTAAGTCACATTTGATGTGCTCCTATTTTTATTCGAGATTAGCAGACAATTTAAATCTCTCAGGATCGCGCATTCTATATTAAACACCAACATTTTACGGTTCACTTAGATTCCCGTGAGTACATAGAAGCATTATTTATTATATGAGGCGCTCGCTCCTGGCCTTTTCATTTTTCATTATTATTATTATTATTATTTTAATTGTATTTTTTGACTTGTTTTTTCTTTTATTGTAAATATTTTTATTTATTTAAAAAAAAAGAAAATATTTGAGGAAAAAACAAAAAAAAAAGCCCGCTGAGTTTGTTTCGCCGGTTCTTCGCAGGAGTGTGGCTTTTTTTGGAACCGGTGGTAGAGTTAACATTGTTATTTGTATTTTGACATTCAACAAGTGTGTCATACTGACATCTAAGTTGAAATAAATGATTTTGAATTTTGAATTTATCTGTTGAATCGTCTTATAATATGATTACTTAAGTTCATAAAGATATACAGGGTGTCCTACTAAGGGTACATATATATATATATCAAGTCGAGAACATAGAACATAGTGTTCTATTACAAAAATCGATTCGTTGACAAAAAAGTACTCAATGATCTATTTTACAGAATGCCGAGAACAAATTTGGAAATTAAACGCAATGGAGCGAATAGACACTGAAGATTACATCTGTGAGTTTTTTTCTTAACTTAACCAGTCACTTTGAATGTGACGAGAGTTACGTAATTGGTTCGTAAGTGAAAAAACTACTCATTTTAATACAACATTGTCTTCTCCAACAATAATCCAATGTAAATAAGTCCTGCTTGTTATCATAATATTTACATTATATTATTATCACAATAATTGAAAGAATTGCTATTTAGTCCTGGAAGGATATATCTCGTGCCAAACTCACTTGAGTTAAGGACTAATATTTTTTGGTGTTAGGTCATTACAATCCGGATGCTGCAGTCGGAGGAAGAGATACATTCCCTGGTGAATTTCCACATATGGTGAGTGAAAAATATAAATATTATGAATAAGGTATGAATAAATTATAATTTTCGTAATGACTGGTGGTAGGACCTCTTGTGAATCCGCGCGGGTAGGTACCACCACCCCGCCTGTTTCTGCCGTGAAGCAGTAATGCGTTTCGGTTTGAAGGGTGGGGCAGCCGTTGTAACTATACATGAGACCTGAGAACTTATATCTCAAAGTGGGTGGCGCATTTACGTCGTAGATGTCTATGGGCTCCAGTAATCACTTAACACCAAGTGGGCTGTGAGCTCGTCCACCCAGCTAAGCAATAAAAGAAAACAAAAAAGGCACCTTAAAATTAATGGTCAAAATATTGACTTTCGGCTTTTACAAGTTCACATTATGTCGGTTTGTTCTTTATGTCTTACAAATGCTGCAGCTATTTTTAAACTTACTTTTCGATTAGCCAGATACTTCCGACCTCTCATCTGATGTTATGTGTTTACCAAAGTCCATATAAATTATTATAATGTGGATGCCGCCACTCACCTTGAGTCATGAACCCCAAATATCAATTTTTAGATATTAATATGATGGTTACGGATACGATAAGCATTCGATCTGGAATACGTTATTGATTCCCGGTACAAATAGGTAAGGTAGTGGTAGTACCTAGCGTGTAGACATTGATTAATGTCTCCAAATTGTTTGTATAAGTCGTATTTCTTTTGCAACTATAAATACCATCCAGAAATCATGGGCATAACTTGAAACTGCATAATGATTTCATGACAATTTAGGGCGCTGTTGGATGGTCCCCGTGGGATAAAAATTCGGATTACGTATTCAAATGCGGAAGCTCCCTAATCAGTCCATTTTTCTTACTGACTGCTGCTCACTGTTCAGAAGCACCGCTGAAGGATAATCCTGACATATCAGATCCGATCCCAAAGATTGTGAGACTGAGTTACAAAAATCTCTACGCTGTAAGTACAAAAATTTATGCAAATTTCATACAACTACCTATATATTCATTTAGATTAAATCTTTCTTCTGTCAGTTACTTATTATTACTTATTGTACATTAAAGAGGCTTGACTACAAACTTTTCAAAGGTACATAAATTATAAATATCTTCCCCTTCTACGCATTAGCTCGTTTAAAAATAATAGAGACTAGAGGTCCCGCAGTAGTCGAAATTCGACTATAATTAATTGAAATTGTAAGTTTGTACACTATTATGATTGTATTTTATACTTCTATACTCACAAATTTCGGCAAGACTATACTATAAAAATATTAACAAAGACAAACAATATTTAATTTATTCTCAATTTGACAACAGATGTCAAGAACAAAAGTTTGACAATAAATAGTATGCATGCGTGTGTGCGTCAAATACATGGTATGTAGTGTGTGTAATGTTTTCTTTATTGATTTAATGTATATTATATGCATTATTTTAAAAAAATATTAGCATTGTGCATTTCTTCTCTATATTCTCTATAAGTGTGGAAAATTTCATACTCCCCCGTCCACGCAATTTTCGTAAAAAGGTATACAAAGTTTTTGCTTCACCTATTAATATATAGATTCTAGACAAGTCACTTCTAGCAGTCATTATAATTATTATTGTCAGGCCACCTCTCATAATTATTATATACTAGTGGATCTCCGGTAGTCGAAATTCATTGAAATTAAAGTTTGTATAAACTCTATTATTATTTTATTGTCAAAGACTATTCTACTTCTTCACAGATTTCGCTAAGACTACACTTTAGACAAATATAAACAAAAGCAAATAATATTTAATCTATTCTCAATTTGACCACAGACTATAGAGCAATAAGAAAAGTTTGACAATAAGCAAATAGTATGCATGCGTGCGTATCATATACATGGTAGGGTGTGTAATGTTTCTTTTATTGATTTAATGTATTTTTTTATGCACAATTAAAAAAAAAAAAACATTCTGCACATCCTCTCCTCTTGACTCCATACAGAGGAGGGCCGTTCGGATTGTCGATAATCCCATTCTCACGGATCGTTTGGAACCTCTGGGTCTGCGGAAGGACTTCGGTTCCCTCTGTATTCTGTACCGTATGTTCCATGGGGAGTGCTCTGAGGAATTGTTCGAGATGATACCGACATCTCATTTTTAGCCGCTGCGGTCATCCACAGTGCGTTTCCAGAGATCTTTTTTGCCACGTACCATCCGGCTATGGAATGAACTCCCCTCCACGGTGTTTCCCGAGCGCTATGACATGTCCTTCTTCAAACGAGGCTTATGGAGAGTATTAAGCGGTAGGCAGCGGCTTGGCTCTGCCCCTGGCATTGCTGAAGTCCATGGGCGACGGTAACCACTCACCATCAGGTGGGCCGTATGCCCGTCTGCCTACAAAGGCAATAAAAAAAAAAACGCTTTTATTAGCTTCAGACGTATGTATGTTAGTATGTAACGGAATCTTTGAACAAGATTTTGACTCCCTTTAAAACGTTGCATTAACTCGAAATTTGGTATACTTGTTAAAGACTGATGACAATTCAATATTAAAAAAAAAATAAAAAAAATTGAAATTCATCTAATAATGAAAAATAAATAATTGTTTAAAAAACCAACAAAATATGCTTTTATATAAAAATCCAACTAAAAAGTAGAAAATAAATTTTAATAAATTTGAATTAAAAATAGTGTAAGAAAAAATGATTTTATTGTAAAAAAAAAGCATGTGCATGGTATCACTTATCAGTAGTTATAAATATTTTATGAACAGATATGAGTAGAAGGGTTATTTTGATAATATCCTGAAAAGCACCCGCACGCTTTTTTACAATAAAATCATTTTTTCTTACACTATTTTTAATTCAAATTTATTAAAATTTATTTTCTATTATTTAGTTGGATTTTCTATAAAAGCGTATTTGTTAGTTCTTTTAAACTATTTTTTTTTATAGAACCTTTTTGCTTACAGTCAGATGCATTTGCCGAACACAATAATTTTGAAATTTCAGAAAAAACCAAGAGATAACTATCAGGACTCCACGATAAAAGCAATTTACGTTCATCCCGATTACAAGTCTCCGACCAAATATAACGATGTAGCTTTGTTAGAATTAGAGTGGGGGATTAATTACTCATACTTTGTACAACCTGCGTGTCTATGGACGAAAGAAGACATAACCGNGATGCATTTGCCGAACACAATAATTTTGAAATTTCAGAAAAAACCAAGAGATAACTATCAGGACTCCACGATAAAAGCAATTTACGTTCATCCCGATTACAAGTCTCCGACCAAATATAACGATGTAGCTTTGTTAGAATTAGAGTGGGGGATTAATTACTCATACTTTGTACAACCTGCGTGTCTATGGACGAAAGAAGACATAACCGAATTGGAATCTTTCGCCACCGTCACCGGCTGGGGAGTTTTACAAGAAGGTAAAATATGCCAGTAGTTTTACTATAAAAGCTGAGACTTAGAACTCATGTCTCTATAATATATATATAATAAATAAAAATAAGTTAGAAAGGACCACTTGTCGTTATCACTGCTTCGTAAATGATCTCAAATCCAAATAATAACCACTTAACACCAGATATTTAAAAAGTTTCATAGCGCTCAGAAAATACCGTGGAGGGGACATTTCATCGCGGGAAAATGCAACGTGTTTCATGATTTGAGGCACGAAGCGCCGCTTCGCTCTATTGAGTACTCCCAACACTTTAAAAGCCAATTTGGCTAAGGACAACCGCGATCTTTGCTGAACGCAGTTGATAATAACTGAAAATACTAATTACCGTGGTGATGTCTCTTCGATGAGCTTAATTAATTTAGTATTTAATTACAGATTATCATCACACATACCAACCCAAATTGGGAGACTGCAATCAGCTTTTCAAATTAATAATGTAGAATTGGGATCTTGGCGCATGAAACATAACTATTTCACTGTTGTATTTTTATTGTTCTCTTCCAAAATCTTCTCTGTTATTATAATAAAAAATTAACTTAACACTTAACTGACATATTTTTTATACCTACTCATTCAGTCTTCGCTATCTTGCTTTTCGCTGTCTTTCTCTTTTTCCTTTCTAACCGTTTTCTCTCACTCACATCTTAACGCTCCGTTCCACACTCTTTTCATATGGTACATTTTTATCAATCCTACAATAATATCACCTCAATTTTGCTGTATATTGTTAAATACCAGGTAGCAGGAACATCTCAGCCGAATTACAAGCAGCGGTAGTGGACTTTATAGATTCAGATGAATGCGAAACACTATTGCAACCTTGGTGCAGCAGGAATTGGTGTGGACTTGAAGAAACACAGCTATGTGCTGGCGTACTAGCAGGAGGCGTGGATGCATGTCAGGTTTGTGAACTTTATAATTATTTTGATTTTGATATTAAAACGATTTTATTACAATAGAAAAGACAAGTGCTATGAATGTTTATTCTTAACGTTAACACCGTTATTGCCAAACCTATAAACTATATACGTCGTTATATACTGTTATAAGATTTGATTAGGAGGAACAGTAGAGGAAATGAAGTAGTAAGTTGAAGGTGAACCTAGATAAAGAAAGTAGAAGAAATAGATCGATTTGATACTGAATTGGACAAACTAAACTATATATGCTTCTCTGATCTGAAATTCTTTTCTACGTTTCGACAAAGAATTTAAAATAGATTCCTCATACAAAGTCGTTGGCTTCACAATTCTTATAAAACATGACGTCACCAGCCCCAATAAAAGGTTTTTTATGTTTTCAGGGTGATTCTGGAGGACCCCTCCAAGTGAAGATTTCCTTGAACTTCAGGTCAACGTACAATCTCTATTACATTGTCGGTGTTACGTCATTTGGTATTGGTTGTGCACAACCTAACATACCAGGAGTTTACACTAGGGTATCATCCTTTATAGACTGGATAGAAGAAAAAGTTTGGCCTGTCAACAAGAATGTCACTACGTAAAGCCAACTTGGCCTACAATTTCAAAACCGTTGTCGCTTTTTATTCGTTTTTGTCTAAAGTTTACCGAGAGAGTGTAACGCTAATCAACATGAACATATGAGGCCGTCAGCGTAAAAGTGGCCTGAGCTTACAATAGTAAGTATGGAGGCAAATGGGTTTGAATTTTCATGAATTTAAAATTGAGTAAGCAAGAAAACAATACGCGCAAAAATAATGTTAACTAAGTTATCTGTTATCTATGGGTGAAACTATGGATAGGCCGGTTTTGCATCGAAATTTCATATATTTTAAATAAATTCCAATATACGTCATATATAAGCTTGAATATAAAAAATTGTGGGTTAGGCCACTTTTGCGCTGATGGCCTCATATAGTCGACAGTATACTTCGAGAACGATTTTGACACACCCCGTATACATATGATAATATATACAGGATGTGTCCGAATCACTGCCGTAGCCAAAACAGGAAGAAACTTTTAGCTTATGGTAAACGGCGGACAATCTTATACTTTTAAACGAGTAATTCTGGTATATTAATGTATATATAATCTGAATCTCGGAAACGGCTCCAACGATTTTCATAAAATTTAGTATACAGGGGCATTCGGGGGCAATAAATCGATCTAGCTACGATTTATTTTCAGAAAATGTTGCTTTATTCATGTTTCCAACAATCAACTCATCCCGACATCTATGGGCGAATAATAATACTATTTTTCTTAATTGAGGGCAACTAACCGCTTTAAACACATAACAAGATGGCGTTATCAAAAAAAAAAAACAATCATCATCTAGTATTTATTTATTGAATAAAATGACATGTCGTTTAATTAAATTACTTTTACCTCGAAACTCGCGTAAAAACGAAAAGATAGTCGATCGCGTTACTACGAAATCGTAGACTGTTCATTGAGGACGTCAGCGTATAAGTGGCCTAAGCTTACCATAGTATCGAGATAATGAGGTCTGAATTTACTTTTACGCTGCTTCGTAGGCAAAAAGACTACACGCTAAAAATAAAATAATATTTACTAAGACATTTGCTATCTATGGGCGAAACTAGGGATAGGCCGGTTTTTCATCAAAATTTATTATCTTTTAAATAAATTGCAATAAACATACAAAGACGAATATGAAAAATTGTGCGTTAGGTCACTTTTGGACTGACGGCTTCAATTATTCTTGGGCGTTAAAATATTTCATATAATGACATAGGATGTAATACGGACCGTGAATCGTACAAGCATTTAAGAAATCAACAGGACTAGGTAACTTTGTTTTTAAATGTAATTATTCACCAATATTGCTGGTTTACAAGACAAAACATTGTATTATTATAATTTAACCTTAGTTTGTGAAAAATATAAATAGAAGAAGTTTACATATCTGTGGTTTGTCATTTACTCTCCTATTCGTTTTTTTATTAGGGGAATTTACCTTCAAAAATAAATAAGTCTAACACACTATTTTATGATACCACTTATATTAAATTATACTAGAGGTCCCGCAGTAGTCGAAATTCGACTATAACTAATTGGAATTGTAAGTTTGTACACTATTATGATTGTATTTTATACTTCTATAATCACAAATTTCGCCAAGACTACACTATAAAAAATATTTAATCTCAATTTGACAACAGACGTCAAGAACAAAAGTTTGACAATAAATAGTATGCATGCGTGTGTGCGTCAAATACATGGTATGTAGTGTGTGTAATGTTTCCTTTATTGATTTAATGTATCTTTTATGCATTATTTTAAAAAAATATTAGCATTGTGATCTTCTTCTCTATATTCTTTATAAGTGTGGAAAATTTCATACTCCTCCGTCCGCGCGAATTTCGTAAAAAGGAATAGAAAGTTTTTGCTTCACGTATTATGCATATAGATTACGAAGATATTTTTAAGTTGAACATAAAATCGCGCGAATCTTGTTGACTGACACCTAGTGACGCGTATTCGGGAATTCCGATTGCGCCCGATAACGCCCTACTTGGATTTGCCAGTGTTACACAATACAAATTCAATTAATATTATAATTATTTTCTTGATAAAACTTTCATTATTATTTATCTTCAATCATCATCAATATCATCATTATCAATCAATATCATCAATCATCATCATCATCAATATCAATCTATACATATAATAAAATCGTAACTAGTCGCTGTCCGTACATGGAAGATATAATAATTTATTGTGGTAAGCTTTATGATAAGTTATGTTTTATGATAAGTACGTGTTTACCAAACAACGTTGTGTTAATAGGTACTAATTATTGTAAGAATGACTCGGAAAAAGATCCAACCTCTCCCAGTGCAGCGAGAATGCTAAAAGGATGAGATTAGTTCGATCACAGTAATCTGAAGAAAATCATAAGGCAAGACTCACTACATCTTAGGAATATCAGGCGAGGTTTTGTGTTACAGAAACTTCGGCTCAGCGAGAATCTCGATTGAGTTTACATCGTTTTCGAATGATGGCCACTCGAATTAGGGAGGCACAGCGTGACGCACGTCGATCGGGAATCTCATGTATTATCGCTTTAGTCTGAGACCTTTACTGATAGGGAAATCCGTCAGTGCTCTCAGAGGGTTCGGACAGGAAATGCCCGGTCTCAGGAGACACTTGAAGAACGAGAAACAGGTCTCACTGCCGATCGCGAGGCTCATACACTATCGCTTGAGCCTGAGACCTTTACTGATAGGGAAATCCGTCTGAGCTCTCAGAGGGTTCGGACAGCAAATGCCTGGTCTCAGGAGACACTAGAAGAACGGGAAGCACAACTCACTGCCGATTGCGTTTCCAGTGAGCCTATGTTTCGTGATGATAATAAATAAAGCCCAAGGTCAGATGCTAAAAGTAGTGGGTGTAGATCTAAGTGTTAACTACTTTTCACATAGTCAACTCGGTCACACGGCTATGTAGCTCGGCCACATGTTAGCAATCCTAGCAACCTGTATGCTTTGATCCTCGATGGCTGTACGTCTAATGTCGTGTATAGAGAAGTATTACTTTAAATTAGATCTATATATTAATACGTGAAGCAAAAACTTTGTATCCCTTTTTACGAAAATTGCGCGGACGGAGGAGTATGAAAATTTCCACACTTATAGAGAATATAGAGAAGAAGTGCACAATGCTAATATATTTTTTAAATAATGCATAAAAGATACATTAAATCAATAAAGAAAACATTACATACACTACATACCATGTATTTGACGCACACACGCATGCATACTATTTATTGTCAAACTTTTGTTCTTGATGTCTGTTGTCAAATTGAGATTAAATATTGTTGTAATATTTTTATAGTGAAGTCTTGGCGAAATTTGGGATTATAGAAGTATAAAATACAATCATTATAGTGTACAAACTTACAATTCCAATTAGTTATAGTCGAATTTCGACTACTGCGGGACCTCTAGTTTTTTTAAATACCCAAATGACGGGTATATTATAAACCAAAAGATATGTCCTAAAACTGCTGCCCAAAGTCGCTTATCCACGCGGACGGAGTCGCGGGCACAGCTAGTACATAATATGTAGTTTGAAATGTAAGAAAAATAAAAACAGACATATTGAGACGAAGTTTTATAAAATAAAATGGGGATTGTATCTTTACAAGGTGTGAATGTTAAAAAGATCTGAATTCGAATTACAACAACTTGTACCTTGAACCAGAACTGATAGCTGCTTTACCTTCCACAACAATCATTTTCCTTTTACCAACGAAATATTTTATGAAGTGCAAAATGTATTAAACAGGTTTCTTTTTACCTGTTTTCTGAGTCCAAGACCAGTTTTTAATAAGGAAAACGCTTATTACTACCACATTCAAAATATATGATGATGGTAATGTGAATACTTGCTAATCCAACAATTAATAGACGTTATTTTAAAAGAGAAAACTAGATCTGTCCAACCTATATTGAAGTTAAATGAAGTAGGAAACTAATTTTCAAACTTCGTACACGTATCGATTATAGTCACGAAGTACCAGGGCCCCATATTCTCAAAGAACTGACTCGGAATATTGCCTGCATTATGAACGCCGTACAAGGCAAGTTCCACACTTAAGTTGGTCCACTCAGTTTCATGGCGCGCAACAAGTGCTTTCCATAATTGAACGCACCTGCTCCGCAACAACTCCGTACGTGTTCTGTGATCCTGGTACTTCGTATCGATGATTTTTCTATGAAGTCCTTGAAAACGACACGATATATAGATTAAAAGATTACAAAACAATGAAAGTAAAATTAGAGTGAGAGAGAGAGAGAGAGAGAGAGAATACACTTTATTGCACACCAACACAATTTACATTAAAAAAAAACAGTCAAAAAGCACATATGTACAATAGGCGGTCTTATCGCTAAAAGCGATCTCTTCCAGACAACCGTTTAATTTACAGAAATTCTGTAAAATATACAAAATATAGCAGGTATGTTGCGGTGTACCATATACAATTAATTAACATTATTATAGAAATTACACCGTGATTAGCCTATGTTACATGAACTTAATTGACCTTAAATCTTTAAGTACCCAGAAAAATTATACAAGAAAATAAATATTATTCTAATTGTTTTAAGGCGAAAACAAGTACCAACTATAATATAATTAGAGGCTTCAAAAGTAGAGAAGTATACCCATGTGACCGTCACCAGTCTCTGTTAATGTCAAAGTCAAGACGCTACCTACTGTTGAAAATTCTTTTTAAAACTTACTTTACTGGAGCCCATAGACATCTACAACGTAAATACACCACCCACCATGAGATATAAGTTCTAAGGTCTCAGTATAGTTACAACGGCTACCCCACCCTTGAAACCGAAACGCATTACTGCTTCCCGGTAGAAATAGGCAGGTCGGTGGTACCTACCCGTGCGGACTCACAAGAGGTCCTACCACCAGTCTTGGCTGAAAGTCATTAATGGAACAAACAAATATCTAAAGTAAAATAAAAAATATATTTTTGATCTACATCTATACTAATCTATACTTCTATACTAATATTATAAAGAGGAAAGATTTGTTTGTTTGTTTGTTTGTTTGTATTGAATAGGCTCCGAAACTACTGAACCGATTTAAAAAATTCTTTCACTGTTTGAAAGCTACATTATTTCCGAGTGACATAGGTTATAAATTTTAAAAAAAAATTAGGTATCCTTACTAAAACTACAATAATGTAACCCAAGCTGTAAAAAAAGTACCTAAAATATTCTTGACATCGCGTGCCCTGCGAAAAATATTGATGATAGAATAAAATAATGTACCTATTACGACTTTGTAGAACACATCATTATTTACAAAAAGTGTCAGGACAGCATATGTCTAACTATTATAGTTATGCAGCTATAAGTGTTGTTTTATTTTAAAAAAAAATTAAACAACCTCAAATACCGTTGAAATTTTTGTTAAAGACCCGAGCGGAGCCGGAGCGGACCGCTAGTATTTGATAATCGCAAAAACGCTTTTGACGTAGATTCCAGTTACCTTATTTTTAAATTAAAGGTCAAAATATTAAGACCAGTTACATCAAGGTCACAATTTACTAAAAATCACATCACATACCAAAATCAAGCCTTATTATTTTATATTTTAAAATTTGCGTTCGCGCCCTGACGTTCGCACGAAACGTATTTTTTTTTTTAATTTTAATTTAAAAAACAGCAAAGGTGTTCGTCGGAATGAATTTTGTGATCGTTTTCGTTTTAGTATTGTGTGGGGGTGAGTTTAATAACATAATTTTTATCTTTCGTAAGCTACGCAAAAAAAGACACAACGAACCGCTAACAAACTTTTATACTGTAAAAAGATTGGATCCAGTTGAGCGGAAAAAAAAAACATAAATCAAATGTACGTATTAACAACAAAACTATTTTTTAATATTTTCAGTACAGTCGATCGAAGAGATATCGATAAGCGAAACTGATAATCAATATACGACAAGGCAAAGAGTAAGTTTTATTTGAGACTGTACTAAAATTAGCACGTGAATATTCCTCGTATATATTCTACAAGCGGCCCGCTCCGGCTCCGCTCGGGTCTTTAACATAAATTTCAACGATATTTGACGTTGTTCTATTTAAAAAAATAAAAGAACACTAATTACGGCATAACTGTAATAGTTAGACATTGCTGTCGCGACACTATTTGTAAATAATAATGTGATCTACAAAGTCGTAGTATATTATTTTATTCTATCATCAATAGTTTTTGCAGGGCACGCGATGTAAAGAATATTTTAGGTAGTTTTTTTTACACCTTGGGTTACATTATTGGAATTTTAGTAAGAATCCCTAATTAAAAAAAAAATTATAACTTATGTCACTCGGAAATAATGTAGCTTCTAAACAGTGAAAGAATTTTTCAAATCGGTTCAGTAGCTTGCCTATTCATTACAAACAAACAAACAAACAAACCTTTCCCCTTTATAATATTAGTATAGATTTGGTCTTATCGAAAGGTATATTAACTTTTTATATACTTTTGACTAATTTTATATCACAAAAATCCAATACATTAGTCTACACGCGTCAATAATCAGTTTAAGATTACAATAGGTCAACATGATATAATAGAAACACTTCGACTGATAATATTCCCAAGTGATAAACAATAATATGAAATATGTTTGTCTCTTATGTGAACTTTATACCACCTAATGTGCCGATTAATCAAGACTTAAGTACAGTAATCAAGAGATAGAGATATAAAGCGTGCGAATAAATTTATATTTATGAATAGTTTGTTTTTTATTATTATTTATTAATTCTTTATTTCAGTTTTGTTTTTTAAAACCATAACATTTTGTTAGTAGTAATTACTTATATCTATGTTAGTGACTTAAAAAATCTAACACATAACTCTCATTATATATATACATTTTATACCATTACATTTTTTATTTTATTTTTTTCTCCTTCCAAGTGCCTACTGCAAATGAATTTTTTTGAATCAACCAAAAAAATTACAGATCAACTTGACACGTTAACATAAACAAAATAAGAATATACAATCGTTAATTAAGTTATATTCAAAAATGTTATTTTTACATTGGTAATGAGCACCATCATCAAACTCCTAATTCCTTCATTCTGACGAGAAAAATCTCATTTAAAAAAAAACGATTTTTAAAATAACTGCTTTTTAATTACAGGTAGCGAGACATTGGAATTGGGATTGGGATTATCCAGTAGAACCGTTTTATATTCCAGTAAGTATCCCTTAAAATTAGTTACACTCGTTAAAACCAGACCTCAATATCATCATCATCATCATCTCAGCCACTGCTGAACATAGGCCTCTCCAAGTGATCTCCAGTGCGGCCGGTCCGTTGCCACCTGCATCTAACGTGACCTAGCGGTTCTTACCAGGTCGTTGGTCAATCTCGTAGGTGGCCGTCCCACACTGCGCTTGCCAGTACGTGGTCTCCACTCGAGGATCCTTAAATTAGTAGTTACTACTAATAACTAATTACTACTAATAACTACTATTACACAATAAATATCTATTTACATTTTACGTCCGCAGAATCAGTTATCACCACCTGCAGGAAGCGTAGGAAATGAAATTCATATCACTACAATAAATCTAGCTCCGGTGATCTTAATTGATGACAACAAAGAAGTTATACGAGTGAGCTTCGGAGCAGAAGTGGAATCTACCAGGAGCTTTTTCATCTTGCCATTTGAAGATATAATTACTGCGCCGATTTCAAAAGATGGACTACAGAATATAACCTTCAATCTGTTAATAAACCACAATTATTACCAGAACGGTTTGGGTATTCAACCAAAAGCCACCATTGAATCTAATACAGGAAAAAAGCTGAACGAAGTTGAGGATCTGAAGAAAGACGATTTCAATTTCGAAAGCAGAGACTCAGAATCGAATGTGCCTGAAGAAGTAAACAATTATACCACCTCAGAGGCTAGTTTCCCTAAAATAGATGTCAGAACTTTTGAAATAGATGATAACGTAACAAAGACATAGATTTCTATCAGAAGACCATTGAGCAGCCAAAATGATTTGTTAAAAATAATTAGAACAGTTTTACGGTTTCAATGTTAAAATGAAATTATCCTCTATAATTTAAATTTCCGAGTTTCCACAGATTTATTAGTCACCGAAGACTGCCAACTTTTGCTGTCTTCATCTTAAAAAAAAAAGCAAAACATTTTTTATTTTAATTTAAATGTAGATATACTTTTGGTAGCATTTGTGTTATTAAACATCAAAACTCATAGATAGTACCGATGTGATGCTCAACTGTTCGACCAGTTCTCAAGATAAGAATAAGAAATAGGTTTGAATAGCAATATGTTGAAACTATTGTGGTAGAAAATAACATTAAAACTCTTTTCCAACTACCCCTCTTGATGATTTTACTATGTTGTTTGTAATTTGATGATATGATTTTTTTTTTCTTCTTAATAATGACTGTGTATACTGCCTTTATAATTTGTATTACTCTCGCAAATTTATTATAACAAAGCTTAATACTATAAACCTTTGTTTCATTTTATATACATCGTGCTCAGAAATTGCACCCACAATATTATAAAGAGGCTTTTAGAGGATTTTAGGTCCTCCAGTAGTAAAATGAAGTTATCCAAAAAATCCAGCATTGGTTGTAAAACTAAATAATAGCACCATAAGATCTTATATGATCAGAGTCTATCGGTCTTGTAAGAGATACAGCAACCCATTCACTTCAACAAAAAATGAAGCTATGTCGAATCTCAAATCCGGAAGAATAATATCTGAAAGCTTGTCCACGCTCGGGACAAATAATAAGTCGGTTTGAGAAACTAATGTTATATATTTTTAGTCCGACAATAATAATTAGATAAATTGTTTGAAATTTTTAGAAAAGGCGCCTAGGCGCCAAGGTCGTGATTAAGTTAAAAATTTACAGATAATATAAAAAAATAAGGATATGCGTTCCGTTTCACGCTGTGAGGATGTTGAATGAAGCTATTCACATCATATCTAACTGGGTGACTTGAAAGCCGTATGTTCCATGGGGAATGCTCTGAGGAATTATTCGAGATGATCCCCTCATCTTCTTTTTACCATCACACCTCCCGCCACCAGAGCAGAGTTCATCCATATTCTCTGGAACCACTGCGTTCATCGACATTGCCTTTCCAAAGATCTTTTCCGCCACGTAAAATCCAGCTTTGGAATGAAGGAGAGAATGAAGATGAATGAAGAGGAAAAAAAAGCCCGCCGGATAGATACCAACACCTCTCCTATATCTGCCACCGACTAATAGCGCGTTCCGATTTGAAGGGGGGGGCGGCTAACTCCAAGTGGGTCGTGAATTTGTCATTTTATTCGCTGACTTTGTGCCGCAGCGCCCCTGACAGCTAGCTCTACCAGGGGTCATGGTTTCGTTTCCCACTTGAGGCGAAAATTTGTGAGATGAACAAGCTTATTAATTACGTATTTGAGTATCTAATATATGTCTATTCAAAAGTATACTAGTAGTTAGTAGTGTATATGTAAGTCTCTGGTTTATTTTTTATTTTTTATTGTTGTGGTGAGTAGACGAGCCCACCTGGTGTTAAGGGGTTACTGGAGCCCATAGACATCTACAACGTAAATGCGCCACCCACCTTGAGATATAAGTTCTAAGGTCTCAAGTATAGTTACAACGGCTGCCCCACCCTTCAAACCGAAACGCGTTACTGCTTCACGGCAGATATAGGCAGGGTGGTGGTACCTACCCGCGCGGACTCACAAGAGGTCCCACCACCAGTAAAAGGGGACGGCCCATTTCAGGCCCAAAGCGGACAATAGATTAGAGAAAAAATACTTAGTGCATTAATTTTGTCATAAATAAGTATGCATTTACTTTCTTCCAAATAAGCGCCACTACAGTTTACAATAAGTAGTTTAAAAAAAGTAACTCTATTGAAAAAAACAAGAATTTTATTTTTGCGGGAAAAATATTGCCAACTTCAAAACCTTTTACGTATTAAGTAAACATTTAAAGTATATAAAAAAACATATAAATAAATCATTTTAAATATTATCATTAATCAATCGATTTTAATCGATTTTAAGCACATAAAATAACATCAAAGACATACCCATTGGACTTTAACTTGTTACTATACTTGAGACCTTAGAACTTATATCTCAAGGTGGGTGGCGCATTTACGTTGTGGATGTTTGTGGGCTCCAGTAACCACTTAACACCAGGGTGGCTGTGAGATCGTCCACCCATCTAAGCAATAAAAAAAAACTTAACTTGTATTGTTATTTAAATATGTACAACTAAAACAAAAACATAAAAAATAAAATATAATGTGTACTCGTAAAAAAAAGATTAAGAAATAAATCCAATATCGGTTATTTAAAAAAATGATCGATATATGAATTTCATGTAATTATTTTTCTTTATACTGACAACACTGATTTTAATCTGACTGACTGACACTTCGCTTGCTGCTTGTGCTTGCGTTCAAAATGGATGTGTTTTGATTTTTCTTCGATTTATTTTGCTTTTATCAATAACGTTTCATACTACGGCTGAAAACCATTGTGTGAATTGTGGTTTTAACCTGACCGAGATTTAAAACCGTGTATATGCTCTCCTGTGCTGTTTTTAGATGATTTACTAATTGTGTATGAAGATGAAGAAAATATAGAATAATGTAGATATTTAAAGAAGTATGTGTGTTTTTTATACCCTAATAACTACAATTGGATAAAAATACATTAGGAACATCTTAAAAATTAAAAAAAGAAAAGTTCTTGAGGTATTTATATAGAAAATTAACCTCAAAACGAGTTTTTTATTTTTATTATATTTTTTATAATAGTGGCGTCAATTTCAATATAATTTTTAGATATCTAATACATTTAAGAATTTGAATCAGTCTATTTTTATAGTAATATTTAATGTCCACCTTGGGCCTAGCACACTATGGAGAGTGGGCAATCCCCTTTCCATAGTATAGAGAATTATAATTTAAACTAGATGACTGTCTGCGATGCGTCGCCGATTATTACTATTATTACATATAGAGATCTTTAAGTAATAAATTGCTTGAATGTTCGAGGTCAACAGCCTGTTTTACATTTATTGACATCGTTATTGACAGAGGCACGAGCAACAGCTGTCTTTAAGCCGCAGACTAATTTTCCTGCTGTGATTAAAAATAATGAGGCGAAGAGGATAATTTTGAAAAGACTTTTAGCGCTACTCAAAAAAACAGAAACAGGTTTATAATACACACTTCCTTTAGTCCGTAACACCAAGATATCGAGCCAACACGTGTACGTAGTGTTCGTTAATAAAAACAAATGCGAGAAATAAACAAATAATAATATTCTATATTTATTAATAATAATAATAATATTTGCCTATCAATTATGAGGAATAATTACTTGTTCGCGTTTATTTTGATGTCGTTTACCGGTAAGTGTTTTATTCTTAACCGACTTCGAATAAGGAAAAAGTTTATGATTCAACTCTTTTTTTTTTTAATGTGATTTTGATTATTCTCTTTTTTATTTGATAGCTGGTCGTTCTCGTGTGGTCGCATTTAAATTGTATAAAGATCTTATCTTTAGTTTTTAAGGCATAGCTTTAAATTTTAAATAAGGCATAAACATTGATGATATATTCATTTTGTTTTATTGGACTCTGTTTTCTTTTTTACTGTAATTTCGTACGGTATGTATACTGTATGAATTCGTGACTGCCGAAGTTAATGCGTATTTTCCAATATACTTAAACATTGCCGGTGCTAAGTCAAACCCTGATCTGCTACCGTTAACATTAGTTCTTTACCTACGAAATTGCCGTTCAGTTTAGATAAAATTACTAATTTTTTTACATTGCATACATTACATTTTTTTTTTCTGTTCTGGTTGCTTAACAGTGAACACGTATCGAGTGATGTCTTATATAAATAATTACAAAACAGTGCAAATAAGTGACATACGAGAACAAATAAGTGTTTATTTCACGGGAACATTGACAAGAAGTTCAAATATATAGAAGTAGTAGCACGAAATCAGTTTCTCCGTCGTCAAATTTGATGGAAGTGTGCACAACTAAACGAGAAAAATCATCAACAAGTAAATTAGATCAGCCATATTTATTACAATAGTGCCAACCTATACACCGAATCATAGACGAAGAAGAATAACCGAATGGCTTTATTATTATTTATTATTATATTAGTGTGGCAAGCTTCAAAATTATAAATTCTATCATTTGCTGTTACCATTTTCACAAATCCAAATTACCCTGGAAATTGGATAAAAATATGGAGATATTGTGGTTAAAATTAGAAAAGAAGCTAAATCAACAAACTCTAATATTAACAGCTAATACAGTCACAATAAATGTTACGGAGGTACAGTCACACAGTACATACAGTCACAATAAATGAAAAATTGGAATCGCTTACTGAAGAGAATAACAACCTCAAATTAAAAGTTTCTGAATTAGAACAAAAGCTATTTGGATAAAGATAAACGAAAGAATAATTTAGTATTTTTGGGTGTAGAAGAAAATGGAAAAAGAGAAATAGATCTCGTAGAATACATAGTGAAGATTATCGTAGAAGCAGGCACCTCTCTAGACTGTCAAGAAGTAAGTAATATTTATAGAATCGGTGCATCACCTACTAAAAGCCGCCCGATAATAGGGACCTTTAGGACTACATGGAAAAATAATCTTATACTCAAAAACAAAACTAACCTTCCACAAGGCATCTACGTGAAAGAAGACTATTCAAAAAGCGTCCTAGAAACGAGGAAACAATTACAACCGAAAGTAGAAGAAGAACGAAAGAAGGGAAACATCGCATATTTGAAGCACGACAAATTGGTAGTAAAGAAACCATACGAGACCGGCCGAGAAAAAAAGGAAAAGAGGTCAGTCTGGTTCACCGAATTGGTCATCACAAAAGAAGTCGAACACAAACAAAATTCCAGGAAGAAACCCGCCTAATACCGGTACATCAGAA